ACGTCCGATACGTTCAGCTCTTCCATACGTATGTTAAACGCTTTCAACTCTTTGGACTCGCGCTCCAGTGGTATGACCTGCGGGTGACGGCGATGGGTATCACCAGAGAGTAGGTTTCAAACCATTAAATGAATGCAAAACACGTGAAACAAATGTGAGCTTCAAATACCTTAAACAAGCCGTCGTAGAGCCGAAGTCCGATGAGTTTGCCGTTGGGTTCAATCATTCCTATGGATCCGGTCTCTGATGGCCTGGAGATGGTGTCGGCGACGTTGCCGTGCGCTCGAGTCACCACTTCGAAGGCCTCGCCCTCACCGCGGATGCACTCAAGTATCGACGCGTTATACTTATAGGTCAACAGAAAGAGCAGATCCTTCTTCTCGCCCTCCGGTCTGAATGTCTTCATTACAGTGACTCTGCCGTAGATCGAGATCTCTTTCATGGGTCGCAGGCCTTCGGCGGTCACCAAATAGATCTCAATTCGCGTCGATTTGGCGATCAATAGATTCAGATCCGTCGGTGACGTGAAGTTGCCTTCAATTACAGCCAAAACAAAGTTATCATTACTTAAAGCAAACAAATTGTGTCTAAAATGCGGTTTGAATTGCAATTTGAATCAAATGTGAGAAAAAAACANGTGAGAAAAAAACACTTGTTTTGCAAACAAAGCCAACAAATAAGACAATTGAATGACACAAACCTGTGACACAATTGGAGACTCCGGAGCCCTTATGGGCGGTCACCACATAATTGTAAGTCATTTTGAATGACAATTAATACTAATTGTGGTTAAAATGAGAGACAAATTAATTCAATCATTGTTTGCATTCAAAGGAAACACACTTTTGGTGTGAAAACCGGCGTTAAAGCGATGGCGCCTTTTGGGGGCCATTCATACACAACGTGTCATTAAACACAACTAAAGTGTGGCTAAAGTTTGCAAAAGTTTTTTAAACTTTATATCAAATCTAATTTGTTTTAATTGTAATTTAGATGACATTTGGATTATAAATACAATAAATTGCAATTTATATAACATTTAAAATTATATATTAATTGTATATTGAAGTGAATGGTAGGGCTCTCTCTCTCACGAGGAATGTCTTGGGAGGGAATCGTTGCGCCCGAAGGCCAGCACTTCTTGGTTCAGATTTTCTAATGAAAATAATCAGTTAATCATTGATTGCATTGATTTTAAGTGTAAATAAAAAACAAGAATCACTCAATTCGTGGATCAAAGCCATGAATTGTTGTTCAAACTGTTGATCCCTTGTGTCGGCCGTTCGATCGGATCCATTGCTGGCGACGGACTGTCTTTGAGAGGCGCGACAGACAGTGACCGCCAACCGCTTCTCTACGGCCCGAACACGTGTCTCATTGGCCGACCATTTGTAGGCCAAGTATGTCAGAAAACCACCTGTTTTTAGACCATCATTACTGTCACTTCAATTGATCCCAAAGAATACATGCAAAACGAATGCTTACCTAAGAGTGGCGTCAATACAATGACCACAACCGCCGCCCAAACGCCGCCGAAACCGGCCATCAGTTGAAGGGATGAATGGATCACTTGTTTGGACACAAATCAAAACAATTCAACACTTGGTTTGCAGTGAATGTTGAGCTCAGAGTTGATTCGAGTAGTCATTCATTGGTTGTAATGAATGAAAGCATTGAATCATAGGTTTTGCGTTCGAAAGCGTCACTCAATGTGTGCTGAAGTGATGGAAAGGCTATTGAAGTGAACGATGAGTCTCGCAATGAGTGCAGCCATTGGTTGCGCCGATCGTCTGCTTTGAGTCCAACTCAACACTCATTGCAATACAAACCACACAAACAGACGATCCGTTCGACAGTTTTGATCGAACGGCGCATTCGATGGCAACTAATCGTAACAATCGTTTGACAACTGATCAACAGATGTCTTGTCCGCTGACCGCCGATGAAGTGGTGTTTGTTTGCGAACGAATGGATTGCGACAAACGGTTCCGCACGAAGAAGTCGCTGACCGAACACCGGAGGTATCATTTGTGTGGCTTTCGATGCGATGGCCGACACGACGACCGCAACGAGTGCTCCGACCAGAGGTTGAGCCAACTCTCGCGACCGCTTCCGCCCGACGGAGGGCTCAAGAGGTATGAATGTCTCGTCTGTCGATATGTCGGCCATTTGTCCGAAGTGTTGAAACACATCCACAACCGACACGTCTGTCGCCACTGGACTCACGATATGAACCAAAACGATGGCACAGCTGTCGGTGCGGCCAATGATAGAGCGGTGGCCAGAGTTGGCCAGAGAGACGACGAGAGACCTATTGATCTCTCGCTGAAGACGTCTCGAAGCGCGAACTCAATGGACAACAGAGCCTATAAAAGAGCCGTTGAGTTAAACAATGCCGGAGTGGAAGAGTCGCCCGAAGACATCGCTTACGAGAGAGCCGTCAAGAGAGCTATTGATGAGTCCATAAAATCGGTGGTCGAGAGAGTCGTCGAGGGATCGGCTGAAAGAGCGGTTGTGAACAAGAATTGGTCACAAATAACGCACTTGTTTTCACATAATATGGACGAAGACATCGACCGCAAAGCTATCGGTCAGAAGAATATGAAGACATTTCGATGCCATGAATGCGACAAATCGTTCACAACTCGCAGCTCACTCTCAGAGCATCAGAAGAATCATTTGTGCGGTTTTGGGATCAAACCCTTAGCCGACGACCAGAACTGCTCCGAACGGAATATACGGAAGTATTGGGCGATTGTTTCAAGAAATCCAACCAAATGTCTGTGTCTTTGGACGGACTGTGGATACGAAGGAGACATACATAACATGAAAAGACATGTTCACAACCTTCACGTGTGTCCGCACCGGAAGAATAGCTCAGAAAAAGCGATCAAAACGAAGGCAAACAAATGTGAGACCAAAAAGAAGGACAAATTGGCCGCAAATGACTTGAAATCGGAGGCAAAGCGCGAGAACTGTTTCAAAGTACCGACGATTCCGCCGTTGAAAGCCATTGGAAACGACACGAGCGGACAATCGGATCGCAAATCAACGGCTATTCCCAAAACGTATGGAAAGGCAATCGATTTCCAGACACAAAGAAGAGAAGAGATGAATAAACCGGAAAACATTCGACTATTGAAACTCTTTGACGAGAAATGGGCACCAATTCTGGACAATATGCCGCTAACGCCTGAAAGACCTAACAATTGGTGGGAACAGTACTGTGACGGACGCTTAGACAGCGCTTCCAACGACTCGACGACAGTCTCTTCGGAGGCCAACAGTCATGAGATATGGTTCGATGCAAACAGTCATCCAAATGATGACAGAAGCGAAGGAATTAAGCCTTCAATCGATGCGAAAACTACTGACAGATTGTGTTTAATTCAATGAACGGATCAATTGTTTTGATAATTTTGTATAAAATATAATTAATTATAAAAAGCTATAAATTTATTTCTTACATATAATTTTGAATTCATTATTAATTGAATTAATTGTTTTTTCTTTAATTAGTTTCTTATAATTGTTCTCTTTTTTAAATATTACATGTAATTTATAAAATGTATTATAA